ATATATATATATATATATATATATATATATATATATAAAATATTGTTTTTTGAGTTTTTAGTAATTTTTCTTGTCAATTATTTTGTCATTATTTTCATTACTTACATGTTTACATAACCTCTTTCGTTTGATAGAAGTTCTGTTTTTTATAATATATATATTTTATTAAGTCTATATTTTTTTTTATTTAATTTAGAAATTTGTACTTTTGCTCAAAAATGATCTAAATTTGTTTTTACATGCATATTTGAATAAAAATATTTTAAATATAAATATCACACATTGAATTTTTTAAAAATTTAGATACCATTTTATTATTTTGAAAATTTATATATTATATCCTATGACTATAATATTTATATATGATTATTAAAATATATGAATATTTGATCAATTTCTTTATAAGAATGTTATTTGTAATCTATCTACTTTGTCATTTTCATTTTCTCTGTTTGCAAATGCGCTGTTGCCACGTTGTTCACTATAGCTTATATCTAAAGTAGGCTTTGATATTTTCCGTATGCCAATGTGAACATTTTTTTGTGATCAGACTGATCATTCTGACGCACCCTAACTTTTTCAAACATTCTCATCAACATCTTCTTATTAACATTATATCATTTAGTTTTTCTTTTTTATAATAGGTAAGTGAAATACATGACATTTATATATAAAATTTATAATATACGAAAATTTTTATATATTTATTTTGTTATTATTATAATATTGTATTTACTTAAACTTTATCTTAAGGCATCAAAAATTTGTAACTGATTTCTATATTTTTAATTATATTACAATTGATGAGTAAAATAAAAAATACTAATTTCAAATTTAGAAAATCTTTGATTCAAAAATTATACGTAATATACGATTCTAATAAATTTTATAAATGTAAAAATAATAAAGAAATATAAAAAAAATAATTGGTAGAAAAAAAATGAACTATTATATTTAAGTTTTTTTATTTAATTTATATTAATATGTTAAATTATCTGTATTATATTATTTAAAGAACAGGTAATTTTTTTATTATACTAAAATAAATAAATATAATAATATTTTTATATTATTAATTTCATTTTTAGAATTGACTTATTTGAAATAACAAAAATGTCAGATCACTTTGGCCCAATAACTTTAAAATGGGATCCTAAAAATTTAGAGATTCGTACTATGTCTGTAGAAAAAACGTTGGAACCCTTAGTTTTACAAGTTACTACACTTGTAAATACAAAGGGTCCTAGTAAAAAAAAGAAAGGAAAATCAAAAAGAGCTAGTGCTTTAGTTGGAACTGTTGAAAAAGCAACCAATAATTTTATTGAGAAAGGTGAACAAATAGCATATGAAAATCCTGACATTACTGCAGAAATGTTAAGTGCTGTTGAAGAAGTAAGAAAAACAGGTGCTGCAATGAGCATTGCTGCTAGGTTTGTTTTATATAAAAAGTTTCTAATATATAAGGAACTTTGTATATATAAAAACATTAATATTATTACTATTAATTAATTTCAGAGAGTTTTCAGAAGATCCCTGTTCTTCTTTAAAAAGAGGCAATATGGTTCGTGCTGCAAGAAATTTATTATCTGCAGTAACACGTTTGCTTATTTTAGCAGATATGGTTGATGTGCATTTGTTGTTGAAATCATTGCATGTAGTAGAAGATGATTTAAAAAATTAAAGAATGCATCTTCACAGGGAGAGTTATTAGAAAATATAAAACAATTTGGTAGAAATGCATCAGAACTTATGAATCAAGCTGCAAAACGTCAACAAGAATTAAAAGATCCTCAATTAAGAGATGATTTGGCTGCAGCAAGAGCTGTTCTTAAAAAACACTCTACTATGCTTTTAACAGCCTCCAAAGTTTATGTTCGACATCCTGAATTAGCTGCAGCAAAAGCAAATCGTGATTATGTTTTAAAACAAGTCTGTGAAGCTGTAAATACCATTAATGATGTAGCACAAGGAAAAACTCCAATTGATACTCAACATCCTTATGAAGGACCTGGAGAATTAGCTGCTGCATTAGATGATTTTGATGAAAGAATGGTAATGTCTCCACTTGCATATAATGAAGTACGTACAAGACCCAGTCTTGAGGAAAGACTGGAAAGTATCATCAGTGGTGCTGCATTAATGGCAGATTCTTCATGCACTCGAGATGAACGTAGAGAACGTATTGTTGCAGAATGTAATGCAGTTAGGCAAGCACTTCAAGATTTATTAAGTGAATATATGAATAATGTAAGTATTTTATGAATTTTTTTGTTTTTTTTATTTAAATATTTGCTATGTGTATATAATTTATTTATACATATAACAATAACAAATAATATACAAAATATTATAACAAATAAGTTTCAATAATTGCATTAATGCATAAGAGAAATTTAATTATAATAATATTGTTTTTTATAATTTATTTTGATTTATATTTCATACTAACATTTATAGTATTTTTAAATGTATATTATGTTACTGTATGATATAAGTATATGCATACAAAAACATATATGTTCACAAATAATATATTTACACATAATTATATTATCATTTAACATAATGATTGATTTATTCTTGGCATGTTCATTTTACTCATTTGTTTTTATTTTTGATGACTACAGTTACAGCTTGCTCGGGGTGGGAAACGGGTAAATATATAAAGATATTGTATTGATTTTACACATGATTTATATGTTATTTAATGACAAGCACTAATCAAATTATTATAATTTAATATCTATGATTTTACAATTATTCCTTAAATTGCACAACTGCATATACTATATAGATATATATGATATAAAAAATATTATAACACTAAATATAATATAATATAATTAGAAATATACAGAAATTAAAAAAATTAATAGCATAGATAAATAGAAAAAATGCATATTTTAAACTTAATTTAAAAAGAATAAACATAAAATTTACTTTAAATTAATTATAAATTTTATAAAATATTTCTTGTAATCATTCTTTTTTTCATATCATATTATGTTATATTATTTATATTTACTCATATAAATAATTTTTCAAAAAAACAATTTGTACTCATTAAAATAAGTAATTATGTTATGTTATAATTAATATGTTAGTTTGTAAAATGTATATTAAATATTTAAAAAAAGTAGAGCATTTTTTAAATAATAAAATAAAATTCTTTTAATCAATTATTTATTTTTATTTTTTTTTAAAGATTGATAAAAAAAAAGATTTTATTTTGCACTCCAATGCTCTTAGTAAAAAATAGCTTAGATTTTATTTGAATGCTCATAAGATATTTATTTATCTATATTTTAGTTATATTTTGATTTTATTAATGGCATATATGTTTTAATAGATGGGTGTCAAAGAACAATCAGAAGGCTTAGAAAGAGCAATTGATCATATGTGTAGAAAAACTCGGGATCTTCGTAGACAATTACGAAAGGCTGTAGTAGATCATGTGTCAGATAGTTTTTTAGAAACAAGCGTACCTTTATTGGTTCTTATTGAAGCTGCAAGAAATGGTCGTGATAAGGAAGTAGAAGAATATGCATTAGTTTTTACAGAACATGCTAATAAATTAGTTGAGGTATATCATTGGACTATATTGCAATATTAATTTTATTATAATTAATAATATTAATCTAGCACTATTTATTTAGGTTGCCAATTTAGTGTGTAGTATGTCAGGAAATGAAGATGGTGTAAAAATGGTTCGGTATGCAGCAGCACAAATTGGAAATTTATGTCCACAAGTAATCAATGCAGCTCGTGTGCTTGCAGCTCGTAATCGATCTAAAGTAGCTTTAGATAATATGGAAGTATTCCGACAAGCATGGGAAAATCAAGTAAGAGTATTAACTGAAGCTGTTGATGATATTACTACTATTGATGATTTCTTAGCTGTATCTGAGAATCACATCTTAGAAGATGTAAATAAATGTGTATTGGCATTACAAGAATGTGATGCTGATACTTTAGATAGAACCGCGGGTGCGATTCGTGGACGATCTGCCAGAGTGTGTAATGTTGTTCAAGCAGAAATGGATAATTATGAGCCTTGTATCTATACAAAACGAGTTTTAGAAGCTGTGAAAGTTCTAAGAGAACAAGTGATGCCGAAATTTGCGCAGAGAGTAGAAGTGGCAGTGGATGCATTGGGTAGTAATCCAGCTAAAGATGTAGATGAAAATGATTTTATAGATGCTTCAAGATTAGTTTACGATGGTGTTCGTGAAATTAGGCGTGCCGTATTGATGAACAGAGTAAGAAAATGCACTAAAAGATTTAAATTTATATTTTTTCTAGATATATTTTTTTATTTACATCTGATATATTTTAGGCGGATGAAGATTTAGATCCAGAAGATGTTGAACTTGATGAACATTATACATTAGAAACTCGTAGTAAATCGAGCGCGCAAACCGGTGAACATGGTGTTGATGAATATCCAGAAATAAGTGGTATTACTACGGCTCGTGAAGCTATGCGTAAAATGCCAGAAGAAGATAAACAAAAAATCTTACAACAAGTAGAATACTTCAAAAGTGAGAAACTAAAGTTTGATAAAGAAGTTGCCAAATGGGATGATGCAGGAAATGATATTATTGTACTTGCAAAGCATATGTGTATGATTATGATGGAAATGACAGATTTTACTAGAGGTCGCGGACCTTTAAAGACGACTATGGATGTCATTAATGCAGCAAAAAAAATTTCTGAAGCTGGAACTAAATTAGATAAATTAACAAGACAAATAGCAGATCAATGTCCAGAAAGTTCTACTAAAAAAGATCTTTTAGCTTATCTACAACGTATAGCATTATATTGTCATCAAATGAATATTACAAGTAAAGTTAAAGCAGATGTACAAAATATTAGTGGAGAATTAATTGTATCTGGACTTGACAGTGCAACTTCTCTTATTCAGGCAGCTAAAAATTTAATGAATGCAGTTGTACTTACTGTTAAAGCTTCATATGTTGCATCAACCAAATATCCTCGACAATCTACAGTAACTGTAAGTTTTTCCATTAATATCATTTATTCTAATTTTATATTTTATATTTTGAATAAATTATTTAAATTCATAATTTATATATAATAATTAATATTAAAATTTTTTTATATCAACAATTGGATTTTATAGTATGTAAGTATTTATATAATAAAAATATATTTATAATTATATTAATAATTCAATAATATTTAAGAAATTATAATTATTATCTGCATCATAAATTTTTTATTACTTTATTTTGAATATACAGTCACCAATTGTTGTATGGAAAATGAAAGCACCAGAAAAGAAACCATTGGTACGTCCTGAGAGACCAGAAGAAGTTAGAGCAAAAGTACGTAAAGGTTCACAGAAAAAAGTGCAAAATCCGATACACGCATTATCTGAATTTCAGAGTCCTACAGAAAGTGTTTAAAATTTTACATGTAAGTAATTTAATAAAAATGAAATTTAACAGAGCATCACCTTTAAAAAATCACATGAGCAAGATATTTTATTTTCTATTGAATATGAAATCCAAACATAAAATTTATATTACTATAAAATATAAGACAGAAGAATTATTTTTTTTTTATGTTTTAAAATTATCAAAATAATAGAACTTTATATTTTGTAATAAATATTAATACATATTTTAAATATTATTAATGCATAATTATATAGTAATTTATTATTTATAATGTTTATTAGTAACAAATAAAACAGAATGAGTAAAAAAAAGAATTAATTTTATGTATGCAATTGTGATAAAAGAAAGATAGATAAAAAAATATGAAATAATACACAAAAATATGAAAATAAAATATCTTGCATAAAAAAGTAATATTGTTTATAATTATGAATTAATAAATGTTTGAAAAACAAAAAATACAATATATGATCGTGTCAATTTCTGATAAATATTTAATTAGATCTCAAGATTTACCTCTTTTTTAAGATATATCTAAATTTTAGATTTCAAATAATAAAGTATCAACAATTTTTTATAGAATATAAGAGAATATAATATACAATCTAATAAGATAATTAAATATTTGATAATTTATGATTATTATATTTCAATTATTATAAAATATATTTAAGTAAATGATAATTTATTTATATTCTGTTTACAATTTTATACTATTCATAAATATCAATAATTAAATATATACTTTGCAAATAAAATTGAATATTTCTATAATAGTTAATTGTATAATAGAAGTTTTAAAATGAATTAAGTAAAAAATTCCATTTTTTATTATTATTTATAAAAAAATGAAGCTTAAATTAAAAAATTTAAATTATTCATTAATGTTTTTTAGTAAATTTTAATAGCATATTTTAAATAGCATTAGAACTATTTAAGTAAGCGGTATATACATATTATGTATATATGAATCAGCTTACTATACTAGAGGCCTCATTTTTTTATTATTATAATAAAGACTATTGAACTGAAATTGATAATTATTTGTATTTTTTATTATTACAGATTATTAGATTATAGTTAATGATTTTATCAGCACATATTCTTATACATATCTAGCAATAATGTCTATAATAATAAAAATATGTATAAGGTTATTATTTTAAGTAATGTTAATAATAATTAAAGGCCTTGAATTTTTGCTAAAATATTGCATGAAGATCAGTTTTTTATTATAATGAATTTTTTGACAATAATATTGATAAATACTTTGTTATGCTTTTATAAAAAAAAATCAATTAAAATACAAATATTAATGTTAACATTCTTCCAAGTGATAACTTATATTAATAATTTCAAATAAATAATTTCAAATGTGAAGTACAATATGAATTATATAAATACATTTAATAACAAGTTATATTCTATGTAAAATTTTAATTTTTATATTTTTGCTTTATATATTTGCTTTGCATATATATTTTTAATATTTTATATTTCCATAGAATTTCAATTAATTAAAATTGCATGTTTTACTATTTAATATATTTATACTATAATTTAGTGAAAAAATAATTTTTGTTACTTTATATTAATAAAATTTGCAAAAAAGTAATATAAATAAGACAGTATTGCATTGGAATAAAGAGACTGCACATCAAAGTATTTAATGATTGTATATAAGTAAATATGACTACATATTTTAAAAAAATTCTTGTTTATGATAATTTTGTATTAGTTATAGCATGTAAAAAATAATTGTAAAAAAACTGATACCAATTTCCATACTTCGTACAATGGATGAAGTATTATATTAAAAACATTTTTATGAAGCTTTTTGATAATTCACAAATTTCTTTATTGAAATAAATATTTTTTGTATTAAAATTTATTCAATATTACTACTTAAAATTGATACATATTTAAGATAACATTTGAAAAGATTATTTAAAAAATATATAAAAATTTATTAATTTATTTTATAGTTGTCATTACATGATTATTAATTAACTATAAAAATAATATGTTATATATGTGGCAAATAGATAATAACAATATGAAATTCTGCTTCACATTGTATGTATTTTCATTTATATTAGTGTAGTTATTGTAGTGAATGTTGCATTTAAATATATTAAAGCATTTGCAGAAAATATGGGATAAAACAATTTCATAGCTTCTAATAAGATATGCATTGGTATCAATTTTTTGCTATTGTAAAACTGATACTAATTTAAATAAAAATAATTGTAAAATTTAATTGTAGTTACTGATATGCTGCCAAATACAAGGTGATGCTTTTAACAAATATCTTTTTATTATTATGAATTTTTTATGTACTACATTTAAAAATAAATTATTATCCTATAAATAAAAAGATATAATTGTTATAAATAGAAAAGAAAGGAAATCTCAAATATAATACATAGATTTGTATTTTATATGATTCATTTATATACTAAATATTACAGAAAAAATAATACAATACAGGAAATTGCAAATGCAAATGATTAATGGCAATGATATAATTATAATTCACACTCGCTTAAACAATATAATTATCTTTATCCTAATTCACTATACGTTATTTTCTAATGTATATAGTATTTATAAAGAAAAAAGTTTATTATTACAGGAAAAATTATTTACCTGTATTTTTTTGCATTAAAAATCTTTTGTATTTTTCTTTTTCTGTCTCAATATGAAGCTGAAAAAATATATATATTGCACAATCAAATATTATTTATTGAATAAAAATAAAATATATTTGTGCTCATTTAAATTATTTAAATTATATTATTGCAATATTGAATTTTTGTTCATATTTCTTGAAGTATTATTTTTTGATTGTACATAATATATGAAACAATAATTGTTTATATTAAAACTTAATTATCTTATTACTAATAATAATATTAATTATCATTACATGCCAAAAAAAACAGGTACTATTGAAATATACTTATTAAAATAATTCATAAAAAATGTAATATTTATTTTCTGATATTATTTAAATTTGAGACATTTAAATTTTGGAAAACTCAAAATATTATGCAATGGTACATTATATAATGGTTACATTGTAACCAAATGATTTCTTTATATTTTTCTACTGCTAAAATATACCTTTTTATTGATATATATGACATGCTGCTAAAAATATTAATAATATGATATAAATATTGCATGTCATTTAAATTGACACAGATTTGATGACTACAAGATATATATATTTATACGATTATTGATATACTTACATTTCTTAAAGATTTTATTGCAAAAAGTAAAATTATATAAACTAAATAGATGCTTTCAATTAGTATATTTTATGAATATTATTTAAAAAAAATGATAAAATAATTAAATATACATCAAATCTTGTTAAAGAAACTATCTTAAATCTAAAAAAACAGTCTCTTTTTTTTCATACTAAGAAAAACATTTAAAACATAAAAGAAATTATTTAAATTTATTATTACTGTTTTATATAATTAATGCACCACTCAATTTGAATCTTCCAAATAAATCTATAAATATCCGTAATTATATTTTACACTAAATGTTACTCTTTTTTTTTTATAATTTTTAAAATTTTTATTTTTTTTATATATGAAGAGTCACAAATAGAAGAAATATGTGAACAAAATTTGAAAGCAAAATAATAAGAAGCATAGAGAAATTAATAGATTTTTTAACTGTGAATAATTCTATGATAAATCTATTTAATTTGCTTCATAATCACAGTTATTGCATTCATACTAAAGTATATTGTGGCTAAAGTAATATAAATTTAATTCATGCGGTTTTATAAAATCATGTATGTATCTATCACAATGCAGAGAATGTTAATAGAATTTGTACATAAATATGTTTATTCAAAAAGTATAAGTGGCGAATATGTATAATTAATGATTATTAAAATAGAATTTTATTTCTTAAAAATTTCATTACTAAAAACTTTAAATTTCGTTAATAAAATTTTATAATATATATCAAGATAATGAGAAAATATTAATACTTTTATTATTTCAATTTTGATTAATGCAAAATGTATTCATCACTTATATTTTTCAATAATATTACATTTCATATACATATTCTAATCAGTTTTAAAATATCATTTTATAATAATTTTTAATTACTTAATTAAAGTAAATAAGTAGTACATTGGCTCTCAATGTACGAAATAGAGTCAGAAAAAATGTCCTTCACAGCCTGTGTAAGACTTTCCCTTGAGATCTTCAAGTCTTTCAAGACATATGCTGATAGAGGACCAGAATTATAACACGACCAGAATTTTTTAAATAAAAAATTGATAATAAAAATAAAAATTAAAATTGTTCTCTTGTATAATTAGATGCGTTAAGTATTGTTCTATAAATGAAATATGCATTGGATGCAATATATTTTACTTACATCAGTCTTAACGACTTCAGTATATAATATTAATTCATGTCATAATGATATAGAAGATGTATACCAGTACAAAATAAGTGTTACAAAAGGAACTCTTAGAAAAGTGTTTCATTTAGAAACGCATACTACAGTATATAAAAACTTTCAGATCTGAAAAAAGAAGTATTTAGAAAGAATTTAAAAAAAAAGGGTATGTTCATTTGTATGCAAAAATTCATTGACAGATATGTATACAATGCAACTCATAAAAATTCGTATATATATTATGTATGCTTGTTATCTCAATTTAGAATAAATTATATAAGATATTTACTTTTGAAAATATTTTTTTTTTGATTAAATTAAGAATATAAATTGCAAATTTCTATAACAAGTGATTTATATATATGTCATTGTCCATTATATCACGGAAAAATATATATGTAAAATTAAATGTTTATAATATTATGCAATATCTCACGACTATAAAAATTTGAATATATTTTTTTTAATTTATGGTTATGCAACTGACTTCATTAGTCATAAATATCATATAATAGCATTATGTATTATCTGCTTTGATAATCATTATACTTTTGTACGTGTAGGGACAGTTATTTAACTTTTAACGCAATTCAGTTAATACAACTGTGTTACTGAGAGAGGTAAACATTAGCCATATGTATAGCCTATGTTTTATTCAGTTAAGCAAATGAAAGTATGGCTTCTATGATGATTCTGCAGTAACTTCTGGTGGTGTACTTACAGATGTTACTGCTGATTTGAATGCTGGAACAAATTCAGCTGCATTTGGATTCAATGTACTCTGAAAACAAGTTATCTATTTGAAATTCAATATTATTATATTTATAATTTAATATATATATATATTATATGATATAGTAATTAAATTTAAATATTAAATTATACCTGCTTAGCAAGATCATCATGCATTTTTAGATTACTAAGTTGCTGACAAAGTTCAGCACTATTATTCTCAGGCATGCTTGTAGCAGTGGACCAAGCAATAGAATTTGTATTTCGTTCATGTTGTCTTTCATCTTCCCACATTGCTTTTAAACATTCTTCTGTTAATTCTTCTTCCATTAATTGTTGAATCACCTATAATTTTTAATTATTGATATATTATTAAAATTTTATATAAAAAAACTTTACAAATAACACAAAACTTATAGTTACAAAACCTCTTTATCAAATTCTTCCTCATTTTCCATCCAAAGGTACTCAGAAAAATCACTTTCTTCTGTTCCTTGTACATCGATTTCAGAATCAAAATTATTATCCATGTAAGAGATAATTCCTGTTTCATTTCCATAATCGTTCCCAGAACGATTATTTGGAATCTTCATTTTCATTACAAATATGTATTTAACAACACAATGAACCTATGAACAAATTTATTTTTAAATTTTTAACATAAATTTATTTTTATTGTCACATTTGTATGTCTAGTCTATATGTCTAGTTTTTTTTATGAATTATTACACATTAATTTTTAACTTCGAAAAATTATCATATTTATATTGTTTTTTTTTTAATAAAAGAATGATTCGATAAAACATATATTTCGATAAAATATAATATTTGAAAATTATAAAATATTTATATATATAGAAAAGAACCTTGAACTCTCTTACACGAACGAATTGTATAAACGAAATAAATATACAATAGCTCCGTTTACACATATGGTAGCATTAATTATGAAATTACATTTTTTTCGTATAAATTACTTAGTATTTGCATTTACTTCAAATTTATCGTCAAATACATTGACAACTAAAAATTTGGAATTATAGTATTTATTGCATCGTAGCAATTGGATACGGTAAAATATCACTTGACAGATCTGTTACAAGGCAACCATTTTTAACTGTCTACTTTTAGTATCGACAAAGCGATATTTATTAATCTTTACTTATAATTATATCGTGCGTCTGTTATTATTATAAGAAAAAATAATATTTCGATAAATGTAAAATACAGATATACCTTTTAATGATGTGGTTTCGGACAATTTGTGATAGAAAACACGATTTACGCAGTTCATGGGTAAAATACGTGTCGTGCAACACAAATTAACCCTTGAAGTAATACTGGGATAGTGCTGCCATCATATAGAAAAAGAGCAATGCACTTTACACCAAAAATTAATAAATATATTTTTTTTCATAAATTGATTTTAATTTAAATATTGAATAAATATTTTAGATTTTTAATTGATTAATGTCTTTATATTTAATTTAATTAATTGTAAATTTAATGAAAACAATTTAAAGATAAAAATATTTTATTTCATCAATGAATAAAATATCAATAACATAAATGTTACTACAACTCATATACAAGTTTTCTAAGAATATGTTCTATATTTTTAATTTTTTTTTTTTATTTTCATATATACTCTCTTCCATAAATTTTTCAAAATAAGAAAAACAATAAGTTATGCTTATAATATAAATTTAAAATAATATAAATTTCAAGTATATAAATAAATATATAAAAAAAACAATTATCACAATTTGTGTAAGAAAAAAATGTAACGTAATGAATTTTAAATAACTAAATTTAAATAAATATTTTTCATATATAGACATTAAAATCTGTTAATAAACCATATATAGTCGATTAAATTTATTAATTTTATTTTAAAGCAATTACATTTTCCAAATACATTTTGGAGTTCAATAATAAATGAAGAAAATACATATATTGAATCACGTAGTGAAAACAATCTATCATGGTCATTGGCACTATTACTATTTTGACTCACGCAGTGTATTTACATTGAAGCGCGTATCATGTGATTGGTTGGCTTGGCTGACGTGCGTGTGTTGACGTTCCATCAAAACAAAGCACGGTCGCGCGTCTCACCGAGCATTTTGCCACGGTAATTCGTTGCGAGTGCGTCGTTTTTTCGTTAACGTGTTTCACGAAAGTGTCAGTTGTCTATTCAATCGTGTGTGCATTATTAGCTTTTAAGTGATTAAGTGCGTGGATTATGATGGCATCCACTGTAAAATTCACTTCGGATGAGAGTTTGGGTGGTAAGTGAAAATTTGTTTCTTTGAACGCGAGCAGCTGTCAATCGAACGTTGCGGCCATTTCGCATGTTGCGGTTGACGCATAAACAAATGCAATCTTCTTTCCTTTTATGTTATAGATATATTTCTTTGCAAGAACATGTTATTTGAAATATTTTATATTATAATATTTTTTTTCTTAATGTATTCATATTACTATATCATTATCAATATAAAATACTATATATTTTAGAGATTTTGGCGCGATCATTCGTTTGTCTTTAATTTAATATACCGGTATTACATTATAATATATTAGATTTTTCTAAAAAAATTTAATATAATTCAACATAATTCGATTTTTAGAATTCCCAATTATTTTATTTCGTATTAATAATTTTAAATATTATAATTTTATTTATTCAATTTAAAATCATAATTATACAATAAGAATTTTATGTTTATGTATCAATAAATATTTTTTTATATTTTTGATAAAAGATTTATTGGAAGATTTCTTATTTTATATATATATGTCTATTTTATTTTTTCACGATAAAAAAAATTTAGAAAATGTTCGAATATAAAGTTTATTTTTCATATGTATTTTTCATAATCTTTAATTTGAATGATTTAGGATTTATTTTTTAATAAAATTTCCTAAAACGAAACTGAATTTCAATTTTTATTTTTTAATAGTTATTTTATTGAAAAGCTCTTGAAAAATGAATTGCTTTTTTTTTGAACAAGTTGATCGTAAAATATAATTTTAAAAGATATAATAGATTTTAAAAGATATAAAGATATAATATTTAATATAGATATAATATTTAATATTATTTAACATTTTACTCTATAAATAGTTATGTATTCGTTTATATTCATCTATATGAAAAAATGGCTCTACTTAAGAATTGTTCATTATTGAATTACATAATTGGGTCAGTGTCTTACAAATATTTAAATTGTTTTGAAATAATCTTAATTGATATGATGCTTATTATCAATTAAATTCTTGCAATTACTTTTATGTTTAAAATCTTTTATAAAAATCGAAGTATCATCATTGTTCAGAAAACATCAAATTGTTATTATCATGACGTAACGTTTCTTTGCATTGCATGGTCAACAAATATCTCCTGCATATAATTGGAAAAGAATAGGAGTGGTCACAATAAATATAGCGGTTGTGTGTTAATTTTAGCGTTCGTAGGGCGACTGGATGCCGAACGTTCGATATCGTTTATGGCTATCACATCCTGACCAAAAAATCTTTTTCAAGAACATTATGGAGAGTTTCAAAATATATGATTTTTTTCAGAAACATAGCCTAATGATATTTGTTAAACATTACTTATTCTAAAAAAAATTGACTTTTATTAATAGCTAACATGAGATTAACAGGTATCTTGAAACACGACTTAACTCTACTAACTCATGTTTATTGTCCTTTCGTTCTTGTATGAATGTAATGAATGTGAGTGAAACCATATGTACCTGCGTATCTTTCGAATTATCTCAATCTTTTATTTCTTTTTACTTTTTTCTTCTACTTTAGGGAATATAATTTTAACTTAAAACGAAGAATGCTAAAAAATGTCTGGAATTTTATATATACAATTTTTTTATAAAATTATTTATTGGATATTTTGAAAGAACCAAATATTTATTTACAAAAAGATTATTCGAAAGTTATTTATTAAATAATAGATAATTATTTATTATTTAGCGATTTAATATTAAAAGTACTTTGATAAATATTTTATTATTTATCAAAGTAAATTGCATTTCTCTAAAAATCTCTTATTTTCATATCGTTTATATATGAATATCATGAAAAAAAGATGTAACATTGCCGAATCATTTTTTTTTCAACATACAGCGTATATTGTACAAAAAAATATTTAAAACTGAGATTAAAAGACCGTTCGTACTATCGCATCATCGGTCCCTCCTCGGGACGTTTGATTAAAATGTCGGGCTGATGAAAGAGGGTCACGTTCGCGCCTATTTTTAAACGTAACGCTCGTTGGCGGACTTTAATTCAATTCATTAAGGCCACCTACCTATCGAGATTTTGTGGCACGTGACATTTCCTGGTCATTTTTGTTTTTTCGTCTATGTCGTCTATGTCGTCTATGTCGTCTATGTCCGCAGAATTATCTATGTATTTTTCATATAAATTGACACATTATTGACATGTTAATTATCAAATTTAACTAGATAAAAATTTAATTATCTAATTTTTTCAATTTGTAGTTTTTAATATCCGACGAATGAATTTAAAACAAAATTCATAAAAATTTATAGATTAATTAATTAGCTTAAAGAATGTATCAAAATTTTTTTCACAGATTTGTGTGAAAATATAGATTATTGAATCTAGCTTTAAATTAAAATTCACCAACGATACTTTTTTCTATTCATTTTATAAAAATCAAGATAGAACAACATTTAACATAAAACATTTTGAAAACGTATAAAACTTTTCAAATAGGACACGTTTTATCATTACGAATAGTTTACGCTCTGACAAATAAAAATTTTAAATACATACGTTTTTTTATTCCGCAATGATTTGACAATTCTGGTATATCCAGAAACTAATTAATTCATTGACATATCTTATTATTTTTTTTAAATTATATGAGTTACAAAAAATTATATGAGTTATATGAGTTACAATTGCTCGATTAAACGAGCAATTGTAATTTTATATATGAATATATAAAGCGTAAAATATAATGAAATAAAATCAATGTTCGAAAATGTATCCAATTACGTCAAAGATTCGTATTTGTTAACTATAAAGATTCCGAACTTTACTTATCATATTTCAACTTTAAAGCGAAATTTCTTATGCAATATGTGTCGAGGTGTATATATTTAAATTTTTTAATTTTTATTATTTTT